TTGATTGATTGATTGATTAGTTTTTTCGTTGATTGATTGATTGATTGATTTCTTCATTCGATTTTTTATTTTTATTTTTTTTGTTGTTGATTGATTGATTGATTGATTGGTTGGTGGGGGAGGGGTCGCCCCACCCCCACGACCACGAGCGCACACACACACATACACACACACACACACACACACACACACACACACAAACACAGAGTTGAGTGTGTTGTTGCACGACTATCTACCATACTCTATGCAGAGTACCACAGAGACACGCTAGGAGTCCTTGTCATCATGATCTTGTCGTGATAATTACCACACTCACATCAGAGATGTGCTTCGAACAAGATGATCTTCACCATTATCACGCTACTCTTCTAGTTTGCATATGCCAAGTCATATCTTTTGTTCGCCTTTGCCATGCCATTTGGCTATATGATCATTGACATTATTTAATCTGTTGTCCCACGTTGCTGACAGTCTCACACATGTGGCTGTCAGAATCTATGTGTATGTCTGCCCGTCCTGCTACCGTCTTCCCCCGAACACAACGCACCCTCATTTTGGTTGTATCTGGCCATAAATATAGCTTGTATACATTCATTTTTAGGGTGCGTTATGTTCAGGGAAAGACAGTAGTTCGATTACAGACATTTGTACTACTTTTTCGAGGCTTTTACAGTGACGTCTGAGGACATGCAAGCAAAGGAGGAGGGGAAGGAGCAGACAAAAACGGTGTTGCAGGTGGGGGAACAACGCAAGGGGGGGAAGGAAGGGGTTGATCTGAATCATGCGGGGGTTGGATTGAACTACCTTCTTCCCCCGAATACAATGTACGGTCATTATAGCTGTATTTAGACTGAAAGATGCCCCAAATATAGCTATAATGACCGTACGTTGTATTCGGGGTAAGAAGGTAGAAGGGGTCATTGGAGGTAGCAGGAGGAGAGGGTTGCACGAAGGAACACGGGGACAACAACAGCAAAAGCGGGTCCTACTAGTATGACCAAGTGAAAGGAAGGAGGGGGGATAAGTGGGTCCTGCTGTGACCAGAGGGTCTGATTTTACCTGTGCGAGTCCTACATCCTTTCTTATCTACAGGGCGGGGACCCCTCTTCTCTTTGATTGGTGGTCTGTTGGTCAGTGGGCCGCATCACGGTCAGTCTATATACGGTGCTGTGTTGACATTTGAACTGGAATTACCCTCACATACAGAGAAAGAACGACTGTCGAATCCTATCGAGTAACAAACTTAGGTAGAGAAGGAGGACAACATCAGACAAAAAGTGCACGTTTGTCACATCATGGTTTCGCATTTTTCAATAGAGGACGTACTTCTTGACATCAGTGTCTGGGAGGAATGGAGCGACGACAACACCTCCTAATCGC